CACCATTGTGAATTCGATAATCAAGACGAACGGGTACCATCTGATTCGAACCTGCAATTGATTCTCAGGCCGTCCTCGATGTTGAAGGAATTGAGTTTTTATTGAATATTTTTTTTAAATATATTTGTAAAATAGTTTCTATTTTTAATAATATACTATTAGATTTATTTCTATTGAATGTTTACTTTTCTTTAGTTGCTTTTAATTAATTATCTATCTATCTATCTATCTATCTATCTATCTATCTATCTATCTATCTATCTATCTATCCACCTGATGACCAGTTCTATCAAAGCACTGATGGGTCATATCAAACGCTCGAATTTACCGCAAAATATTTCGTAATGTATATGCTTGTCATATTTTTAATACTATCTTAAAAATATAATCATACTCATTCTCACTCTCCCCCCCTCTCTCTCTCTGTGTCTATGGCGGGGTGCAAATTGAAAACTATTACTCTGGCAGGGACAGAATTCTTTTACTTAAAACACTATTCCTGGAGAAGTTTGAATTGCAATGTGATTTTAGGTTACATCACTCTTACTCAAGACTCAGATTTTTAATCGGTATCGCCCTAAGTAAGACAATACAGCCACTAGAACGCAAGGTGCTACAGGATGTGGAGGAATTTGGAACATAAAATATTAGTAATGAGGAGAAAGAGAAAAGAGTAATCAGGAGGACAATAGATAGCGATTGACATTGCATTTAAATTTTTGCAGATTAAAGTTGGCTGGAAAGCATGGAGCCGAGAGGGAGTTCGACAAGCGAGAAGTGTGAGATAAGAAAGTGTTAGCATAGAAGTTGCGGAGATATCTAGCTAGCTCAGCTGTAAATTAATGTAATCTCAACGCAAGTCTAGTGTTGCATTTAAATAAAAAAATGTCTAGGTACCATAGTGAAGAGCACATCCGAACAATTACCATGAAAGTATTTATAAAAAGGCGCAAAGAGGTAACTTCACGCCGGTGGGCAAGTTACTGAAGCCGAACCACCAGATCGGGACCAATAATATTGCTGATTCTTTTTTGGATCTTATCAAGGAACGCCAGGAAAATAGCAGGGGCACCGTACCATATAAGGCAGAAATATTTTAAGCATGAACGAATGGTAGACTTATAAATATGCAAAATAGATTCCGGAGAGAAAAACTGTCCCGACCGACACAGTGAACCGACTTTAGCAGTTGATCTAGCAATGGATTCAATGTAGTCTTTCCACCTCATGTCAGCTGAGAACGTTAGCCCGAGAAGGCCCAATGAGTCACTTTCTTGGATGATAGCATCAGCCATGCTGATAACAGGCAGAGAGGGATATCTCAGATGATTAACAGAGAGAAGTTTAGTTTTGGAGTCGTTAAAATTAACAATCCATCTATTCCCCCAGTGAACGGTGGTGTTGAGGTCATCTTCTACATCAGCTGCTATTTTGACCTTGTCTTACTGACTAGCCTCATTATCAAGGCAGGAGCAAATGGTAGTGTCATCAGCATAGATGTCAAGTTGAGAGATGATTTGATCGGGAAGGTCATTAATGAAGATTAAAAAAAAATCAGTGTAGGACCAAGGATGGAGCCCTGGGGGACACCCGCGTTAGTACGAAATGATGTAGACGAGTGGCCGTTCAGGATAACGTTTTATTTCACGATTTGATAGGAACGACGATCAGCTCAAAAACGTACCCAGATATACGTAGCTTTTTAGCTTGTGGAGAAAACCTGAATGCCAGACTCTGGGAAAAGCTTTCGAGATGACCAATGCTTACAGCCCGTGCTTCACCGTTTTTATCTGGAGCATGACAGACTCTTTCTGCAGTTATCATTAGTACATCAGTAATTGATCTGGAGAAACTAAAGGTGTATTGCTTGTTTGGAAAAAGGCCCCGTGATGAGAGATGATAAACCAATTCAGCATTGATTAGGGACTCTAGGAGTTTCCCCAAAAGAGACAGAAGGCTAAGACAGTCCATCAGAGTTCTTAAAAACAGGAACAACAGACAATGACTTTCAGCAAACAGGAAAACAGGAGGCAGCGAGGCATTACAAATTACATTATCGACAATTGACAGAATAAAACTGCCATCAAGGATGGAATGCATAAATACAATGTTTCGGAATCTTGACTTTCCAGTCACATTCCTGTGAATTAACAAGTACTTGGAAACCAGATTGTAATTAACATTAATGCAGCAGGTACACACACACACACACACACACACACACACACACATATATATATATATATATATATATGAAGAAATATACTCTTTAGGTGTGCTATATTTATGGAATAAAGTGATCAAAATCAGAGATAGAGCGTGTGTAAATATAAAAGTGAACATTGAAGTCAACACTTAGAGGCGACATGCTATTTCATGCTAGACGCAATCGTCAGGCTACGAGTGTTGTTTTTTTTTCCTCGGCTATTTATATATACGGGTCAGTAGTGTATTGTGGGTAGTTTATCTTGGTGGTTATTTTGGCGGAAGTTGTTTATTTGCTTATTTATTTACTTGGGTTAAATTATTGTGCTGTTTATTTATTTTTATTTTTTATTTTTATTTCTTATCTTATATATTTATTTATTAATTTTAATTTTAATCGGTGTTTTATTAACGTAGTAAAATTTTGTTTATATCACTTATTTGATAGTTTTGTTTTGGTTTGGGAAGATAATTAAAGCTATTTATTCAATTTTGGGGTTGATTGATGTAGTTTGTTCTAATTATTATTTTGGTGGGGAGCAGTTTTTAATTTGTTTATTCATTTATTTATTTGGATCTTTATATATATATATATATATATATATATATATGAGATAACGATATATATCAGGAACAATGAGATAACGATAATATATATATATATATATATATATATATATATATATATATATATATATATATATATATATATATATATATGAGATAACGATATATATCAGAACAATACTATGGAAAAATATATGACAACGTAGAAAAAGCTTCTTGTGACGCGTTTCATCCTTTTGGATTTCATCTGATGAAAAACATTTTTTACTTTTTCATACACACACACACACACACACACACACACACACACACACACACACACATACATTCCTATAACTTTAGACACAAACTCTTATCTACCGCACCTATTATGAACATTAGTGTGTATGGCCCAATCCTCATAAATACGCTGAGCACTATTGTAAGTGGAGGTAATATGCTAAGTAGTCCACCACGGGCAGTGGTTTACCTACTTCCCGCCGCTGGCGAGTATTGTATTTTGTTGATGTTATAAAGATTACCATTTCATTTCCAACCACCGTTTTGGTTATTCCTCATTCGGTAACTTCTTCTAGATTACAACACATACACACACACACAAAAAAAAAAAAAAAAAAAAAACGAAAAAAAATGGCTTTGATAATGCCTAAAGAATACCTGAAAGTGCTCGGATATGCAGAACTTTTGGACAGATTTTACACACTTTGTGTCCAGAAAAGGAAACACTTGTATGAACACAAGAAAATTTAAATAAAATGCTTAATCGCAGTACCTTGTCTGTCGTCTTAAACAAAACATGTATAAAAGAGGTATAGCTGCCTAAATACACAATATAGCCTACAAACAAAAATCAACAGTACATTTTATAATAAAATGAGCAACAATACATTTTTATAACAAAATGTAAATCAACGCAACTCTAAAAATAAATATAAAAACAATTTTTTTGATCTACGAACTATATATATATATATATATATATATATATATATATATTTGGTTGGATAGATGTCACAAACTCACATCTATCCAACCAAATATGTTAGCTCTATCTCTGATATTGAGCGCTTTCTAATAAGTACCGCGCATATAATATATAAATAATTATACATATTTATATTTATTTATATTTATATACACTTTTCACATATATATATATATAAACATAATTTTATTCTTTCAGGGTAAATGTATGTACAAAATATTTGTAATTGAAAGCATAAAATTGAGTAGAAAATATTTAGATTACGGCATTAAATAACTAGTTGAGGTTGATATGCCACTAAACAAAATCAACCAACCAACCAGGTCGTCACTCGGCGACCGTTAGTAAGCAAGGCGAATCCGTATAACGAATAAGCTTCAGCGTGATTCTAGCTCGCATTCCTAGTTCAAGGGAAAATGCCTTTCTGCAGCATTTGCCTTATAATTATATTACGCAGATCAACTGCTAGGTGACATCCTGATCTACCAAGATGCCTTGCTTGCGCCTTCATCTTTATTTCCGTTACGCTGGTGTCAAAATCAAGCAAATACTCAAATTTAAATATCTAGGTAGTGTTTTAACAGCGGACGGAATGTGGCGCTAAAATCCGAAGGTACGTTGAAATAGGGAAAGGTGCCTTCCAAAAGCCAGGCAAAGTATTAAGAAACAGGAAAACTTCGTTAGAAACAAAGAAAGGAGTACTGATCTGTTACGTAATATTAGCCCTTCTCTATGGCAGTGAATGCTGGACCATCTCCACATAGATGAAGAAGAGACTTGAAGCAACAGAAATATGGATCTACAGAGGGATGCTGAGAATACCATGGATTGAACATGTGAGCAACGATGAAGTTTTAGAGAAAATGCAAACAAAAAAGACACTTATATATAGCATCAGAAAGAGTCAATTGATTTTTCTAGGGCGTATAATGAGGAAAGAGGGCTTGGAAAATTTAACACTCACAAGGCATATTGAAGGCAAGAGGGACGGGAGAAAATGAACTTGTGTAAATTAAGAGCAGAACAGGTTTTAGGAGAGCTACTAAAGAAAGGAAATTATGGAGAGCTATGATCTCCAACGCCCTGAAGAGACACGGCACATAAAAGCATTGAGTTAACATTATTTAAATCTCTAATTATTTAAATTTAATTCTTTAATTATTTAAATCTTTATTTAAATCACTTTGAAAAATTGTAATATTGCTTGCTGGTAACCAGTGAGTTACACAGAAATAAAAGGGTTTACAGCCATATTACGTTGGAACACTGGTTTTCGTCCGATCAACGAAGTTAAGCAACGTCGAGCCTGGTCAGTACCTAAACGAGTGACCGCTTGGGAATTCCAGGTGTTGTAATCTTGGATGTGCGTGCGGTGTAATGGATAACGACTCAGAATTGAAAATCGGAGAGACGAGTTCCAATTCCAGTCGGGTTCTTTTAATTCCTTTGGAAGATGTATGAATCCACAATTCTCATGTATGCCAGTGAATGCTGATGAAGAGGAAACCGTATGCAACAGAAACGGTGTTCTACAGAAGGATACTGAGAATTCCGTGGACGGAGCGAGGAAGTCTTAAAGAAAATGGAAGCAAAAAGAACACTTACGTTCAAAATCAGAAAGACAACTGACATTTGTTGGACACATAATGAGGAAGGACGGCTTGGAAAACTTAATTCTCACAAGGTATATCAATAGCAAGAGAGATAGTGGAACGCAGCAAGCCACTTAACTGAGGAGCTTGTGTGAATGGATGGCAGAACAGGTGGCGAAAGTCTTGGCAAAGGGCGAAACGCTGCTAAGGGCCACGAGAGATAGGAAGTTGTGGGGAGCCATGATTGCCGGCATTATGAAGGGATACAACAGATAGAAGATTTTGGTTTCTTCTTTTATGTATTGGGCCCATTCAAGACGTGGAAAATTATGGCCCGCCACAACTTCCTTTTTCTTTGTAGCTTTAAACAATGTTTGTCCCCTTACAACGCCCTTTCATTCCCTATTCTCCGGTCTATTTAGACAAATCCACCTGCATCTCTTGCCTTCAATGTTTTGTGAGTATTAAATCCTCCCTCTTTCCTCATTATGCGCCCCATAAATTTCAAATGTCTCCTTCTGATTCTAACTATAAACGTCTTTTTGTTTCCATATTCCTTAAAACTTCCTCGTTATTTACATATTCAGTCCATGGTATTCTCAGCATCCTTCTGTACAACCAAATTTCCGTGTCCTCAAGTCTTCTCTTCATCTGCGAGAAAATTGTTCAGTATTCATTACCATATAGGAAGAACGATATTAAATATCAGTTCAACTCCCTTTTCTGTGTTTCCAACGAAATTTTCCTGTTTCTTAATACTTTCTTAGCTTTAGGAAGACATATTTAGCTATTCCAATGAACCTTCGGATGTCGGTGTACATTTTCCGTCGTTTGTTAAAAAATATCCCTGCTAGTTAAATTTCTCACCTTACTCGATTTTAATGTCTCCAATTCTTTGCCCGTCCCTCGGGCTGTTCCTCTTGCTAACGTCTATAAATTCTGTCTTCACACAATTGATAGTCTTTTCTTCTCGCTTTCTTTTAATATCTTGTGTAAGAGTTTTTGGATGCTCTGATGATTATCGGTGCCGAAAGTGTCGTGTTCCAATTTCAGTCGATTCTGTTCCCCCCACTTCGTGGCAATGCACTCGAAAAAGGCATGAATCCATATTCCTGTGGATATGGGGGTTAAAATAGCAAGCTCTCTTGTTCAGTGGTAATCAAACTAGAAGAATTTAAAACAAACCTGAAAAGGGATGGGGTCCATTTGGCTATCTTAGCCCACTGCTACTACGGCTGCAGTACATTCGGTCCCCCCCCCCGATCCCGTTTGGTTATTGGACTCGTGACGTAACGTGCATGAGACTAGAAAATGTATTCAGTAAATGCACAAAATTAGAAGGTGGGGGGGGGTAAGACAAGGATGTATTTTCTCACCGGACTTATTCAACCTTTACAGTAAAGCAATCCTGAGAGAATTCATCATCATCATCATCATCATCATCATCATCATCATCATCATCATCATCATCATCATCATCATCATCATCATCATTCTACCTACCTATAGTTGGTCGGAACTCCATTGACAACCCCTTTCCACACTTTGATCCTTCATTGCTGTTTCAAGATCCCCAATGTCCAACCTTGAATCCCGAGCCATAGTGTCTAGGAGAGTTAATTTTCGTGAGAAAACAATTCCAGAAGGATGCCATAGGAATAAGATTGAGACGATTTCCCTTTCCGCTCGTTGGCAGTGGCTGGCTAACTGTAATCGTTTTAGTTTGAGCTTAAGAGAGATTTGTCTCAGTTCTCCGTAAATTGTGTTAAACGTTGAAAAAACTATAATGACTGAGAGAATTGGCGAAGTCCTTCCATTATTTATTATTGGTAGCCACTATCTTAAAAATATTAGATATGCAGATGACATAGTGTTGATCGCAAACACAGGAAAGAAACTATATGAGTTCCTACAGAAGGCAGCAAAGGAAAGCTAGAAGAATGGACTAAATATCAACTGTCAGAAGACAGAATGTATGGTTGTTAGCAAGAGAAACGGCCCAGTATGTAAATTACGAATTAGAGACACCAAAATTAATCAAGCCTAAAAATTTGAATATCTGGAAAATGCGACATTGAAATCTGAACGTGCCTTTTTAAGATGCCTTTTAAAAGCTAAGCAAAGTATTAAGAAATTTCTAGCGCACATAACGAGGAAAGAAGGCTTAGAAAATTTTCTAGAAGAATCGGCAATATTATTGGCTTCGATCTGTCGTCTTGGCTTCAGTCACTTTCCGACCGCCGGAAGGTTGCGTCCCTTTACACTTTCTATAAATACCTTCATTTTAATTGTTTTTCATGGCAATCTCTTCGCTATGATGTTAGTTTTTAAATTGTTGCTTTATTCAACCCCAAGACAATGATTTGTACATATGGGGTCTAGTTAGGACTTTCATAGAGACGATGAGGGTTTATGGTGGGTGTAGTAAGAATGGTAAGTAAGAATGTGTTGTTTTGGTGTAAGGAATATTGTTGTTTGGGTCAGTGTTTGTGGCTAGCTAAGTTTAACGTTAAGGCAGATGAAGAACGTCCTTTTCCTCATTCCGCCTTTTGGCCTTGTGCCACATTTTCTGTATTTAAGCGGAAATAAATATCGCTCTTTGCTATGGTGTACAAACTCTTTGAATTAAGTGCAATATTAGACTAGTGACGAGGTATCACCAATTCACAGTTGAGCTGGTTAGATGCAACCGTAAATTCTAACAGTTTCTTTTCTCGCACTCCCTTTCGGCTGTATGCTTTCCAGGCACCTTTAATCTGCAAAAATTTAAATGCAATATCAATCGCTATCTGCTGTCCTGATTACTCTTCTTCTGTTCCCGCTCCTTTGCAATATCCCAGTTTCTCACTCTTAAACACATCGTAACCCCTTGCGTCTTTGTGGCTTTTCTGCCTTGGTTGGGGTGAACTCAATTTTAAAAAAAATTGGACATATTGGCATAACTCGAGTAGTTTTTTTTTTTGTGAGAGTTTCCATTTACTTATATATATATATTACTGTTTACTGACAAGTATGTTTTTCGGAGTTACTTTCATTTTTTTTGGGGGGGGGATAAAATATGTGCAGAACTTTTAGTCTCATCCCCCCACCCCTGTATCTCGCTAAAGATGGAAAAGAAATTGCTTTGCTATGATTACATTTTTAGGAATGTGGTCGGTACCATTTAACTGGTAACTTGAGTGAAAATTAGCTGCCTGCATGCCAACGTATGTCTACATGCACGTCTAGGATTGTCGACTGACATGACATGCAACCTTCGACTGAAGTCTGTGTTTAATTGCAAGCGTTCCTCCCATTTTTCTGTATCTCCAGCAAATATTTAAACCGAAGGGAAGCAGTTAATTCATTCACTTCACCCGTGAAGCACGGTTTTAAAATCCTTACCCGGTATTATTCCAGTGCGCCCAGCCGCTTTGACACTTAGCCATGACCTTACTTATTGTGTCCGATGTGTGCGCCCCTCCATATGCAACTTGCCAGCTGTCTCAGACCCTTTCTTCCAGATGGTTAGTAAATCCTTTATCACTAATCCTCTTTCTGCTGTGAAGATTTCTCCGCTGTCAGCAAAACCTGGCGCAAGTGACGGCTTATTTTTTCACAATTCAAACAAGCAAATTAACACATAAAATTTGTTGTGAACCCAAACCTGCTTTTAGACTCTAAAAAAAATGTGCAATGCAATCAATCATCTACTCTTTCCACCTACTGCTCTTTCACTATGTTTAGTCTAGACGGAAAGAAAGAGAGAATATAAGACTGGGGCGAAAGTATACGCAAAGTCGTGCAAAGGTTATGGGTAAGAAAAACGGACTCAGCAGTTTGAATTCGAATTCTGGTCAGGGCATTTAATTGACTTTTTAATTGATTTTTTTTTTCATGTAAGTTCTGCCAAGTTCGAATTCCAGAATTTCACTTTTGCGCAAATACACTTAGGAAAGGTACGAACCCATCTCTTCTTCCTCCAGCTATGGGTGGATGTGCAGGTGGCGTAACGGACAGAGAAACCGAGTTCAAATTTCAGTCGGCTTCTTTGCATTCACTTACGCGTAAATACTCTTGGGTAAGTTATGAATCAATCTCTTCCCCCAACAATGGGTTAAATAGTAGGACTTGTATCTGTTAAAATTACTGTTTTTCTCAAAAGATTTTTAATGCAGTATTTACTCGCAAACAAAAATCCTTACAATAAGTTTCACCTTTGAATAACCCACAAAGGTTTGATAAGCCATAAAAACAGATTAATCAATGAATTTGTTAAATTAGCCATGGGTTAAATAACAGGGAAGTCATTGTCAACCAATCTAGGAGAAGGACAACTTCGAATTCAAAACCATACGTAGCTCTGGTGTAACACATACTGTGGAGTCACAGACAATTTCCAGGAGCTCACAGTGACTCACTCTATAAACTTGACTGCGATTGATCCATGATTTCGTCGATGTATTATTATTATTATTATTATTATTATTACTGATATTCGCGGAAAAGGCACGGATTCTTGTCCCTGTATTCAATAGCATTAGCAATTATATTGAAAAAAATATTTTCCTTTTGACATGCCACACTTAGGCAAATCACTCTCACATGAATACCACTCTGAAAATAATAACTGGCAAAAGTTGTTACACCCATTGACAACCTTGACAAGAGTCAGCATTTATGTTTGTATACATTTTTTCTGGGGTAATTTTTATCCTTTATGCAAAACCACATATACACAATAATCTTGGATGCTCCGTTGTGGAGCAATGGCTAGTAAGTATGTCTCGCAAACTATTATTACTGTAGCCAGGACGCCCAACACTTGTGGCCTTATGTCAAACTATGCCAACCCTACTTAGTTTGAGAAAAATGATCATTTCTCGTATATTTATATGACTATTCTATAATCTAAAACTATGACTTTATATATTTGTCATGCATCCTGATCTCGCCGTCATACTAATGAGATGTTCCGTCGTTTTGATAAAAGTGTATATTATTCGACAACATTAAGTGAATATGCCTTGTGTTATCAATGCAACAGAATATCTCATTAGTAAATACAGGAAAAATGGATCCTTCTTACATGTGGCGTATAGGGCCACGGCCTAAGTAAGCTTTTTTACAGAGTGGATTGGTCAGCTCCATGCACAACCAGTTTTGAATTCAGAGTTACCTTTCTTCCTAGACTGATTACCAACTAAGGGCAATGAACCAAGTCTTTCCTGCTAGTTAAACCATAGATGTTGGGAGAGGAAATACATTTGTACCTTTCTTAAAGATATTTGTGAGAAAGTGAATGCAATGATCTTGACAGAAACTTGAACCTGGCTTGTCGATCTCCCCTTCTGTGCTGATAACCACTACACTGCACAGAGGAGACAGATTGCTTTTCGGCCTTTTTTTTTTTTTTTTTTTTTTTTACTGATTTTTGGATGTTTTTTTATCATTTCTTTTTTGTTACTTTCAATGAGTTAAAAACAGGATTATTTCTTACATATGGCTTACGGCCATATCACGATCAAACACCGGTTCACGTAAGTTAAGCAACATCGGGCCTGGTCAGTACCTAGATGGGTGGCCACTTGGGAATACCAGGTGCTGTAAGCTTGGGTGTGCGGGTGGTGTAATGGATAACGGCTCAGAATTGAAAATCGGAGAACTTAGTTTTAATTCCAGTTGGGTTCGTTATATTCACTTAAGCACAAATACCATTATGAAAGGTATGGATCGACCTCATTTCACCTGCTATGAGTTAAATAGTAGAACTTTTATCAGTAAAATCATTATTATAACGAAACAATTCTTACTATCTAAAAATATTTTCTAGCTTTAAATAACCTTCAAAAGGCTGATAAGCTGTAAAAACAACCCAATGAATCAATCAATTTCTTATATGTGAGAACAAAGTTAATTGTAAAGATAAAAATCATAGCTTGCTCATTCAAAGAAATATATATTGGATACAATAGTAAAATTACTTAAATATGGCCTTCAGTTTTGGATTATATGGATAAACTAGCAGAATTTATAATTACTCACATATTTTCCTGGTAAATCATTTGCAGTGCATTTCATTGTGATTAAATGACACTTGAGTTACCAAATCCCCTTTTGTAGACACATATGTTTACTTAGTTACAGTTTCTAAGGAGGGAACTCATCAATTGCCATGGTCAATAGTTGAACAAGGCCAGTATGTTCAAATCCACTGGCACAATGACTTGTTGATTTGTGCTAACGCAACCACAGATTCGGTCCAAACAAATTTGTCTACTCTATTTCCCTTATATGGCTTAGATAAACACGTGATAAGGTTTTCAGGCCTTTTGCAATACTGGATTCCTCTTTTTAGGATATGATCAATGAATCAGCTCTAGTGAGATTTGAACCAGAGGTTCATGAGAAAAATTACCAATCATAGGTATTAAGCAGTGTTATTTTTTTTTATTGCAGTTCGTCTTAGATTCTGAAATAATGCATTTATTCTTTGAAACCAGTTGAGTTTTTTTATGCCAACGTTTTAGTTATAATATCTCCGTATTACATATATATATATATATATATATATATATATATATATATATATATATATATATATCAAAGGGTCAAATATCATTTCACCTGAAAGTAGTTTGTTTTGTGAACTTTGCTTTTTGCAATCATATTATATATATATATATATATATATATATATATATATATATATATATATATATATATATAAATTTTTTATGTTTATACATTCTTTTTAAATAGAAATACAAATATTTAAGTAAATGCTCTGTTTATAATAGCCACAGAGAATCGTTCGGTTAGTAAGATCAATTTTACTGCTTTTAAACTACAATCTTCCATGAATCTCTCACGTACATTCATATCTGATCAAAGCGTGGCTCAATCGGTTAAGGCACGTCATGCTATATGACGGTTCCGTATAGGATACAGGTTTAATTCCTGTCGGAGGACGAATATTTTCTATGAAAATTTCTCGGACATTCAGGCCGGTAAATGTTATTAATACTGTTTATTATAAACAGAGCATTTACTTAAATATTTGTATCTATAAAAAGAATGTATAAACATAAAAATGTCTTAAAAATAATTGTTGGACTTTGTCCATTTCATAATATATATATATATATATATATATATATATATATATATATATATATACAAAGTTCACAAAACAAGCCACTTTCAGGTGAAATGGTATTTGACCCTTTGATATCGTTTTCAGGTCAGAGCTGGTTGCTCGGGTGATACTGACTAAGCATGAACAATAGAACCTACTTTGTTGCAACACTTACATGAATCCTGTTCTTGATTTCAGTTGATTTACAATGAGAAATTATTGATCCACTCATTGACCTTTCAGGTCTGTTAATGTTTAATGCCAATGGCTGTCACATGAGAGGGAATAACGCCTGCAGCAATACAGTGCTTAAATAGACCATACGTACTTATATTTTCTTCAGACATTAGCATTTCCTCAGGAGAAAGCGAAAGATAGGAGGTGCAGGTGTGATGTACCAGTTAACACCAGAAAATAAACGGCAAACACTGAGGTTGGTCCTATTCATAAAGTACTAATGCCTTTGGGAAAGTGAAGAATACACTTTTCTTTGTACACTCTCCTATTGTCCTATTGAGAAAAAGGTCTTGTTACTGACATGTCAGTGAATACTTTGGCAAGAAACTCTTCCATTAAAACTTTACCTGCTCAAATAATATCAGCAAACAGCTGCTACCCCCATATATATATATATATATATATATATATATATATATATATATATATATATATGCATGTTTCATTAAAAACGACAGACAAATATACTACCCCAATTGACCCAAATAAAAAAATATCAAATTATCTACCATAAAAAAAATTAAGACTGCTAACATTATCCTAAAAAATAACATCACACCAGCTAATTCAAAATTACAACGAACGAACATTATTTATGAATTTAAATGCCCCTTAAGGAACTGTGTTCCTGATCAAACTGAACTCCTAAATAATTACATCGGTCACACAACTACATGCCTATCTAGACGCCTTACTTTACACTTATCTAAACAGAGCTCTATTAAAACCCATGTAAACACACGCACAAACATACCAGACTCCATTCGAAACATACTAGTAGAAAACACAAATATAATAACTTCATCCACCTGTAAAAGGAAGATTAAAATTAATGGAAGCCCTAATAATAAAAAAAGAAAAAGCCAACTCTTAACAATATTAATTATAAAAATTAAAAATATTAATTGTGAACTTGGCCACAATGTGCTAACGGTGGTCGGAAAATAAAACATCTCTATAATACATTAAAAACATACACATAACGCACACACTCAATTAAACTGAAAAAATAAAATCATCCTTGACAACGGCTAAAAGTATAGACGAAAGGGCTCGGAGCGATAGAGCATATAGACAGTTTCTAAACGCTTTGTGTCCCAAAAAGAAAGTTCTTGTTTGAACACAAGAAAATGAATTTAATGAAACATGCATAAATGAAGGATTGTTGCTTAAATACACTCTATCTATCTATCTATCTATCTATCTATCTATCTATCTATATATGTGTGTGTGTGTGTGTGTGTAAATATTTTCAGATAGATTGTATCTGCAGAGGAGATAAAATGAATATATATATATATATATATATATATATATATATATAATATCGCACACTCAGTGCTGGTGGTAATAAAACAGTGCTCGATGTAAAATAGCTAGCTAAAATTTACACTACTATATATATATATATATATATATATATATATATATATTCAGGAAAGTGAAAGGGAAATATATATATATATTCCTTCGAGAAAGGTGACATTGCCAAGAAACTGGGGCGTAGATTTATATTTTGTTAAAGTTTGATCCTTCTAAGTAAATTGTTTTCTCTTTTAAGTGCGGTATATTTTAGATCAAAATTGTGGTTGAATTTATTTATGTCTGTGTATGACAAGTGCATTTGATAAATTGTTATGTATAAGAATTTTATCAAAATATAAATTCACGCCCTGCTTTCTTTCCAATCTCAGCTTTCCTGAAGGAATTACTCCTTTCTCAAGCCAACAAACACGACCGCAAAAATGTGAAAAAATCCAAAGAAAATTGTTAAATCCATTACTTCATGTTTTTGAAGATGTACAGCACACACGTCAATCACACACCATAACAATTTGATCACAATTTAAACAATATTCTTTTATTAAAACAAAAAAAATTCTTGAATATTACGCTCTTATTTTTGTCTTAACGGACTTTGAAGAGAGCGAAACATGTCAGCTAAGAATAGTTTTTACTCTTAGTCATATCTACATCTCTCTCTCTCTCTCTCTCTCTATATATATATATATATATATATATACATACATAATTTAGCTCTTGAAAATATATTTTCAATTGAGAACTGTTGAATGACAAGCTAATTCTAAAAACAACGGCCACTTGCGTAAAATTCGATGCTCTTCAGTAAAATGAATGGAGCACTATGGCTGCTTGTCGTTTGTTTAAGTTTGTAAAAACAATACACTAGATTTGGCTGAGTCATTCTATCAAGTGAAGATGGCTCAGTGGTGTCGCCCCTGAGTGTTGACTTCAATGTCCACGTATATATACATACATATATATATATATATATATATATATATATATATATATATATATATACTGTAAATATCATGTTTTGGGAGCTTATTAAAAAAATTGCCAAGCCCACATGTAACTAAACGTTTCATGGTGTAAACCAATCGTCAGATAGGAATTAGTCAGTTTGTTATACGACTTTTGGTAGGAGTAGTGAGAAACAGTGACCACCCACAAAAAATACATACAAACACGCACATAGATATCCATTCATTCATTCATTTTATTCAGTGAGGGCATTTTGTGCCACTGTGGTCACCACTCCCCTCCATCTTACATTTGCGGTCTATGGTGACATACAAGGCAGAAAGTGTAATGGTTTGACGGTTCCTTTTGCACCAGAGATGCTGAGGTTACCCCGTCCCTCTTCTGAGAGGTGGAATTGTTTTTAAAGTTGTTCTAGCCTAGAGGCAGGACCTACACGCCATCAGGTGGTTTTGAAATCAGAGTTTCCTTCACCTAGAATGGTTGCCACCCAAGGTTATAAGATCCAGTCTGTCCTGCTATTTTACCTATAGCTGGGGAGATAAGAGATAGATTCATACCTTTCCCAAGCGTATTAGCACGTAAATGAATGAACTCAACTGAAATTCAAACTCAGCTCTCTGATACCTCAATTCTAAAGCTGTTAAATCATAGTTTACCAGACTATTATTTTTAGGGAGAAGTGTATCTCTGCTCTGATTTCCTCGGGTTGACCTTAGCGATCAGAGACAAAATAAGGAAGTCGATTTTGATTGGCTGAACGAGCGTGGGAATGATAGAGATAGACAAAGGTTTTTTCAGGGAGTTGTTTCTAAACCGTCAAACAATATAGATGTGTTTTTTTTTGTGTCTGAAACGTCTCCCCAGTGGAGGGAGCGCCCCCACCCCACTGGATATTTAAAACATGTATACGTCGAGGTTAATGAAATGGCTAAGTTAAAATTCCCTGT